ATACCTCCTAATTCTTATTAAAACACACCCATACATAAACAATGATTCCATACAATCAATCACATGGTAGAAGTTAGGGTTCACAAACACCCAAGTGAAAAGGGACACTACTCCGTGCTAGGAGAAGGGAAAGAAACCATCATGGATATACTTGAGTCCTTCCTTGTGTAGTAGAGATCTTCCTTTGGGGAAGAATACCCCAAATCCTTGCCTCGAAGAGAAACCCTAGCCTCTTCTTCCTTCTTGCTCGTCACTTTCTCTCTCTAGAATTTTGAAGAAGAAGGTTTTCTCACTAAAGTTCTCCAATTCACCGGCGTGAACATTCCTCCTGGACCCTGATGTTGAGCTGATATGCATCGTTTCATTTAGTCTGTTCACGGTCTGGGGCTTTGGTTGCGGTCTTAAAACCGTGAACTGACTGGGAGCCGGCGATGTGTGCAAATGCTCCTGTACCCTTGGCGCTTCACAGTCCGGGAGCCCTTTTCACGATCCTAAGACCGTGAAAAATCATCATTGGTCGTGATCCTCAGCTACTTCCCCCCTTTGACTTGTTTTCGCTCCTTTTCGACCCACTTTAGATTCTGGGGTCAGTTCCACCTGCTAGGATCTTAAACATACTAAAAAAATGCGCAACCTAGCGTATAACCACACCTCACGGAGTACAAATTCATCAAACGTCTAAGGAAAACGAGGATAAAATGTGTACAATAGGACCCAAATAATTTCCCTTTCTCTCCGTGTTGCAGTTCTTCACTTCCCCTCCTTGTGAACCCAACCTCAACAAATCTCCCCCTTCTTATTATTCCCCTCCATCCCCAACCCTCTCTTCCTTCCATTCCCAAACCCATCTCTCCACTTTGAAGTATGAACTCCATTCTTCAATTATGAGCACTATCCACACACATGCAACAAAAAGAATGCCAGCGGAAGCCCCATGGGCCAAATTCGTCCTCGCTGTCTCAGTCATCAACTCTTTTTTTGCTGTGAGGAGCCACCCCAGTACCATACCACTCTTTGCCCATGTTGGGAAACAGACTCTTTTGAATTCATTTGAAGGGAATAGAGAAAAAGTTTGGTGTGTGTTAGAGTGACAATGACAAGGAGAATGACATATTAAGAATACCTTTGTGATGGGTGGGTTTCGGTAATCCGGTATACCAGGAAACTGTTGGTAATTTACCCGAAAAGGGGTGGTATACCATTTGAAGATTGTGGGCTGACGTATACTGGTGTCGTCTGGTTAGCAGTTTAACCAATAACCGCAATGACTGGTTTAGTCATCGGTTAAACCGCTAACTGGTACACCGATTACCAGCCTTATTCCTAAAAATGAACAGATTTGCATCAATAGCGACAATGAGACTGACATTGAAGATGACATAAATGATGAACTTCAACGTCATTGATGATAGCCACAGATGAATACTTAGAAGGCATTCATGGCGAGATCGACAACAAGGTTTACGAAGAAGAAGAGGAGACTCTGGAGAATAGTGGTCGGGCGGGAGGAGTCTCTGGGTAACGTGATGAATTGCTTTTATTAATCTACTAAATACTAGTGCAAAGAGTCTGATTCTAGTGATATGGATTCAACTCATGAACATACCAGACAGTATGATGGTTGGTACATGAATCATGATATTAGAAATATACTAACTGCCATTTACTACATTCAAGATTTTTACCACTAATAACTGGTCTTGTATTTTTCTCCCTAGAAATTTGTAGATCCAATAGATCATGATGAACTCGTTCCTTCTATGCAAATAGTTTCAAAAATGACTTAAAAATGAAGGTGTTATCATATGGTATGGAGTTGGTAACGAGAGGGATGAAAAAAATTTCTCAAAAAATATTGAAAATGGATCTCAGTTTGTAGATCACAACAAACTCATTCCATTTGTGCAAAAAAAATTGAAATCCAAGTTAGAACGAAGAAGTTAAGATTCGATTAAGAAAACTAGAGAAAATAAAATGTTTTAAATTCTCAACAAGTAGAATTGCAATCCACTTAAAATGAAGGGTCCATATTTGGTTATGCAAGTTAAGCACAACAAGGTTACTGACCCTATCCTAGGCCCACAAGATAGCACAAAAGTTTGGTCATCTGATTTGGGTTGACAGCAGGGTAGGTGTCTTAAGAGAGGATTTCCTGCGATTGAGAATCAGTAAAGACATCAGAGCCCTACTTAAACAAGAATTTAAATTGAACGTACAAGGGGAAATCATGAAATTCAAGATCAAATATGAGAAACTTCCTCTCTTTTGTTTCTCATGTGGCAGAGTTGGACACCCGAAATTATCCTGCCCCACTCCCTCAGCTGCAAAACAAGATCCTTTTGGTCCAGAGCTTCGCCCTAGACTAGTGCAGAACAAAACATGGTTTTAGAAGTTAGAAAAGGAAGAAACAGATGAGATGTGGATGGCACTCATATCGAAATTTGACAAAGAAGCAATGCAAACAAAGAAAATGTTGGAGGATGCCAAGTATCCATATCAAACTACAGACAAAGCAAAGTGGGAGACATTGAAAAATTTAAAAGAGTAGGAACTCATGTCAAAACGCGATGTGTATAGATATTTCTCCATTGAGAAATATCCGGAGGAAGGTTATAAAGGCTCAGCTGAAGAAATCTGGAACAAGCGTCATGTTCATGATAGAGATGACCAGAGTAATAATGAGGCAAGTGAGACTAAATCTCTAATGCAAAGTACAGATCCTCTATTAGAAAAAGTGACCTTTAGTGTTGGCCAAGGTGGAATGAACGATGAACAAAAAAAAAAACCTAAAGGGTTGACACAGACAAAAGCAGAAGAAGAAATAAGGAGGAAGATTAAGACTCCCAATCTCACAAAAGGTCACCAGCAGGAACACATCAGGCTCAAATTGGAGAAGGCAACAATGAAGCTCTACCGAAATTTATAAACAATGTGAATGGTGATGTGGTGGTCCTTGCCAAGGAGCAGGACTGCCGAGCCCAATGAGTATCCTATGTTATAATTGCCAAGGTTTGGGGAGGCCCTTGGTAGTTAAGAAGTTGGGGCGTCTACTCCAACGAGAAAACTCCATGTTGGTTTTCATTTTGGAAACCAAAAAGAAATACACAGAGTGGGATCAAGTAATGAAAGAGCTAGGATGCTATCAAGGCAACGGAGTGGGCTCGGTTAGACGTGCTGGAGGTTTATTGGCTATGTGGAAAAATGATATGAATGTGGAGGTTATGTCTCTAGATCAGAATTACATTGATTTGAAAATCACCAAATAAGAGACAATCTGGTGGATCATAGGTATTTACGAGTGGCCAGAATAAGGAAACTAGCACAAGACTTGGAAACTCATTAGAGAACTGTATGAACAGACAACAAATCAAATCCCATGGCTATTGGGAGAAGACTTCAATCTGATCAGAACTTATGAGGAGAAACATGGAAATAATCTACCAGAAGTGAGAGAAATGGAAGGATTTAATGAGGCGCTTGAGGATTGTGGATTACGATACTGTGGGAATCCATTTACTTGGGAAAAAAATCATAAAGATGAAACCTTCCTAGAATAGAGACTGGATAGAATGGTTGCCAATGAAAAATGGCTAAATCTGTTCCACCATGCTCGTGTATACCACCTCAGGAGGTGTGGTTCAGACCACTCTCCAATACTTCTTAAGAAAGAGTTGATCCATGAGAATGTTAGGTGGGGAAAACATTTTCATTTTGAAAGCTACTGGAACAAAGATGATGAATGTCAACAGATTACACAAGAAGGCTGATAAAGAAAACCTTAGGCCTCGTTCCTGACTAAGTTGACTGAATGCGAGAAAAAGTTAAAGTAGTGGAGTAGAATGAAGTATATCAGCTTACCTATCAGAAGACAAAAGCTAGAGCAGGCCTTGGAAAAACTAGAAAAAAGGAAAATGATGCAGTCGTTTTAAGACAAAGGAAAGCACTAGAGCGTGATTAAATGAAGTGATGATCCAAGAAGAGATTGCATGGAGGTGAAGTTCTCGTACTAAGTGACTGTCTGAGGGGGACTATAATAGTAAAAACTTCAACTGATGAGCATCTAATATGTGAAACAGGAACACAGTTACAAAACTGAAGAACGAAGATGATGTATGGTGCAAAGAACAAGAGGCAGTCAATGATTGTTTCCTCCATTATCTCATAAATTTGTACAAGCCAGGGACCAATGCATCAACTCACCATATTCTAGATGTTGTCCCAAGAAAGATTAGTGAGGATATGAACACAGAACTATTGAAACCCTTTACAAGGGAGGAGATCTGGCTGGCCCTAAAGAAGATGGGGCCTTTTAAAGCCCCTGGTGTAGATGGAATGTCGTCGGGTTTTTTCCAAAAATACTAGAGTATTGTGAGGGAAGATGTAACAAGGGAATTATAGAGTTTTCTTGAATCGGATGAGTTTCCTCAAAGCCTAAATCACACTCTGTTAGCCCTCATCCCAAAGAAGAAAGCACCAGACTCACCAAAGGATTTCAGACCTATAAGGCCAAGTCCAACGGGAGCCTCAAAATTGGGGAACTCCCCATTTATGGCGGCTGTTCGGCTCCAACGCAGCATCATTTATGGCGATCGGCGCCATTTTTGGTGGCAATCGGCATATGGAGCGGCAAATCTGGCGACGGGAATGGCGATTACTCCATTTATGGAGTCTGAAAAGAGATTGTGGCGGAACAGCCCCCCCACCCGCGTGCGCCGCACGTCCCGGGGCTGGCGGTTGTTCCGCCACAACTGTTTTTTTTTTTTGTAATGTAATTAATGTTGATTAGGTTTTAAATGATGGTTTAATTATGTAATTGATTAAGGATTTAGTTATGTTTAATTATGGCTTTAATGAATATTTTTATTTGTTTGGTTGAATAGAAGGTGTTATGATTAATTAAGGGAATGAGAATTAATGTTTGTATTATTTAAGCTTCTTTGAAAAAAAAAATCATTTGTGTTTAATATCTTGTTTAATTTCTTTTATTTGATATGATGATTTAAATTGAATTCATTTTATTTAAAATTTATGTTTATCATCTTGAGGTTGTGTGTAAACAAAAACTAGAGCGAACTAAGAAAGGAAAATATATTATTGAAATAAAAATGTGTTCTTGAAATACAAAGCAAATTATCACCTACTACAACTTTAATTGAATTACAAAGCATCAATTTCAAGCAACAACAATGACTAATTATTTCCATGCAAGTTCCAAATATGCTCAACCAAGTCTTGACGAAGCCCATGATGTGTTGGTGCAGCACGAAGCCTATTATTTCTAGCCAAGTACTCAGTTAGGGTTGGAATATCTCTATTGACATTAGTTGGTTGTTGGTCATGGACCTCATAATCAAGACTATCTTCCATTTCATCGTCAGAATCAACCTGCTCATCTTCGATTATCATGTTGTGCAATATAATGCATGTCAACATTATATCATTTATTGTGGCAACATCCCAAGATCTCGCAGGGCCACGAACGATTGCCCATCTAGCTTGAAGAATTCCAAAGGCCCGCTCTACGTCTTTACGATGTGCTTCTTGACATCGAGCAAACAAGGCTTCTTTGTTTGAGCTTGGATTGCTAAATGTTTTCACTAAAGTTGACCACGAAGGATAAATACCATCAACCAAATAATAACATTGATCATAGGTATGACCGTTTACCTCAAATCGTGCTCGTGGAGCGGATCCATTGAGGATACGGTCGAACACTGGAGACATCCCCAAAACATTGATGTCGTTGTTCGACCCAGGTACGCCGAAAAAAGCATGCCATATCCAGGTGTTGTATGAAGCCACTGTCTCGAGAATGATTGTTGGTTTATGGTTGTGCCCCAAGTACTGCCCAGTCCAAGAAGTAGGACAGTTCCTCCACTCCCAGTGCATGCAATCAATTGACCCAATCATACCAGGGAATCCGCGTTGTGAGCCTTTACGAAGTAGGATCCTTAAATCAGCCCGAGTTGGTGCACGAAGGTATGTCGACGAGTACATCCCGACAATGGCTCTGCAAAACTTCCTGAAGACTTCCAGTACAGTGCTCCGACCCATACGCATGTAGTCATCAAGTTGATCAGCTGGAGAGCCATAAGCTAGCATGTGTAGTGCAGTAGTAAGCTTTTGCTCTGGCGATAGGCCTAAGTGACCAACAGCATCACTCCTTCGTTCAAAGGAGGGATCATACCTCACAACATCACCCATTATGCGACTAAATAGTCGTGGTTGCATACGAAAACGCCTTCTGAATATGCGAGCATCATATGTTGGATTTGGATTGAAGTAATCCTGCATAAGACGGTCATGACCTGAAACCCTTTCACGATCAATATAAGTGCGACGTGTTGAACGACGACGTGAGGATGAAGCTTCATCAAGCCTCCTTCCGATTAAAGCTAAACGGTCATAGTGAAACATATTCAACTCTTCCCTCTCTTCTTCTCCTCCAGACGATGAGAAGTCTGAGGAACTCATGATGAATGTGTTTGTTTTAGAAATTGGGAGAAGTTGATGAATGTGTTTGCTTCAGAAATGGGAGGAAGTTTAGGCCAAGTATTGAATTAATGACAAATGAGAGATATCACATTTTATAGACAAACATATTCACAGGTGGCTTACCTAAATATTCCTACCTAACGGTCATATCTAACATGTGCTACCTAACAGTCTCACCTAACGGTAATATCTAACATGTGCTACCTACCACTCGTATCTAACATGTGCTACCTACCACTATCTAACATCTGCTACCTAACAGTCTCACCTAACGGTAATATCTAACATGTGCTACCTACCACTCGTATATAACATGTGCTATCTAACATCTGCTACCTAACAGTCTCACCTAACGGTCATATCTATCGGTCTTCCAATTTTCTATATATTCAGACATCCTCTCTTCTTTCTCTACAATTCATTATTACCTTTGAAATTTGCTTCCAGTCTCACCATCCTTTCTATCATCTTTATCTCTCTAAAGACCAAACAATGACAAGCAAGAGAGGAGAGGGTTGGAAAGTGGAGGAAGATGTGAACTTGTGCAATTCTTGGGTTATGATATCAGAAGATGGAGCTGTGGGCGCTAATCAAAGACTCTCAAAGCTTTGGGATAGAGTGGCGACGCAATTTCAAGTGAATGATCCCACTACAACTCGTACTATCAAAAGCATGAGTAATCGAATGAGCCTCATCACCAAATTCTGCAAATGTTGGAATTCAGCTATCCAAAGGGCAGAGAGGAATCAACCAAGTGGCACGAATCCACAAGAGGTGGTATGAATTCTCTGTCACCATCACTGTTATTTTCTAACTCATTTATTAGTATGAATTCTACTTTCTAACTCCTTTTTCATCTCATTCATTAATACGTATAGGAGTATATGGCAGAACAGCTTTATAAAAGTGAGACAGGAGAAAAGGGTTGGAATTTTAGTCATTGTTGGCGGATTTTGAAAAAATGTCAAAAATTTCATGCCCTGTTAACAATGTCGTCTTCACATCAAACCCGCACAAGTCAAGGTTCTGATGGTTCTCCCATGTGTCGTGGTTATCAATCAACCCCACCGACAGACCTCAATGACACAGAAGGAGACGAAGAAACTCCACCCTTCGTAGGAGAAACTCCACCGTTCGTCGAAGAAACTCCACCCTTCGTCATATCTCGTCCTGCTGGACGCGACAAACAAAAGGCGGCTAAGAAGAAAGGAAAGGGGGTTGCTGAGCCATCAGAGAGCTACACTGCTCAATTGCTGGACTATGGAAGTGAGTTGAAGGAGAGGCATGCTTCGAGGGCTGAGTATGAGCGAAAAAGGATGGAATTCCAAGAAAAAAAATCGAAGCGCGACGAAGAAAGGTGGAATCTTGAGAAAAGGGAGAGGGAACAAAAGTGGGAAGTTGAAAAAAGAGAGAGGGAAGCGGCACTATTTCGGAACAACGTTGATCTTCTTGAAAAGGATTTGTCGAAGTTGACACCAAGAAAGAGGCAGTATTACAAAACTCAGCAAAACATTGTTCTAGGGTATGATCAAGATGATCCCAACTCTGTTCCCAACTACTCATCCAACGCAAATCAGACCGGGGGAGGAGATGAGAGTGGAGGAGATGAGAGTGGAGGAGGAGGTTATGGGAATTACTATTCTCTGCTAGGCGATTATTGACATGTTATGTGTTTCATCTTTATCATTTCAAGTGTTGTGTGTTATCTTTAACCTTTATCATTATCAAGTGTTGTGTGTAACCAATCAGTTGTATCATTTGAACTATTATGTGAACTCTTTCAACTTTATCATTTTCAAGTGGTGTGTGTAAACTCTAATTAGGTCAATCATTTTTCGCAAAAAAAAAAAAAAAAAAAAATTTGGTCTCGGAATTTAAAAAAATTCTATCGAAAAAATTGTATTTGAAAATGATGACGAACTACACAAATATTAATATGAACAAATTATATTAATGCTTCCATAAATACATTTTTAAGTAAATATAAAACTGAAAAAAGGAAGATCCCCATATTTGGAGAATGTAGCATTGGAACAAAACAGAAGAAAATAGGGATGATCCCCAAATTTGGGGATGAAGGTCCCCAAATTTGGGGATGAAGGTCCCCAAATTTGGGGACTAGCATTGGACTCAGCCTAAGTCTATGCAATGTGGCCTACAAGATTTAATCTAAGATGTTGGCTAACAAACGGAAAAGAGTTCTAAATGAAGTAGTGATTGAGAACCAAAATGATTTTGTGCCTGGCAGATTTATTACATATAATATTATAGTTGCTTTTGAAAGTTTTCATGCCATGAAATAGAGGAAAAAAGGTATGTGCTTGCTAAGCTGGATATTGCCAAAGCATATGATTGTGTGGAATGACCTTTTCTAGAGGCTATGATAAAGAATTAGGGTTTGCCGAGAGATGGGTAAAGCTTATCATGCAATGTGTTACAACCATATCCTATGCAGCAATCATCAATGGCCATCACTCAGAAATGTTCTTCCCCTAGAGAGGGCTGAGGCAAAGTGACCTGATATCACCCTATTTATTCCTATTAATTCTAGAAGGATTGTCGATAATAATCTCTAAAGCTGAAAAGGAGGGTTTGATTCAAGGAATACGAGTCAGAAAAGAAGCACCTGCCATAACTCATTTGCTTTTGCAGATGACATATGTTTTATCAAAGCTACCACAACAGACGGTCATAAGCTTAAACATATTTTGAACCTTTTTTTTCGTTGAATGATTTAATTTGAACTTATAAGAGGCTGAATCTGGTAAGCTATTAAACCTTACAAAATCATAACTATCTTTCACTCCTAATCTTAATAATAACAGGAAGGAAGAACTAGCTGGCATCATGGAATTAAGATAGTACCATTTCATGAAGAATACCTAGTTTACCTACCACAGTGGGGCGAGAAAAGAAATCGGTTTTTAGTTACTTGGTGGATAGAGTTATGAAAAAAGTGGAAAAGGGGAAATCTCGATTCCTCTAAAGTGTAGCGAAAGAGGTGTTGATAAAGGAAGTGGCACAGGCTCAAGCAACATATGCAATGTCCATTTTCCAAGTCCCTAAAGGTATCCTTGAAGAGATACAGAGTATTCTTTCAAACTTCTGGTGCAGTTAGCAAAACAATGAAAGGAGGACACACTGAAGACCTGGAAGGAACTGTGTAGTCCAAAGAAGGAAGGTGGAATGGGAAATCATTGATCGAGCACTAAAATGGATGGAGGAATATAAGCAATACCAGAACAAGAGTACCGAGACTGGACAAAGAAGGTTGCTGAAGTGGAAAGCTACGCCGTCGCAGTGTTTTAAGGACATGAATCTGGATTTGGGGTGGTGGTTCGAGACGAAAGGGGAAATTGCTATTTGTAGGGTTCAAAAGAATGCGGTGACAATGGCTATCAGAATTCGCAGAGGCGGCGGCGATTGATTTTGGATTGGAGGTAGCGAAAATGTATCATTTCTTACCTGGGTCGATTTAATCGGATTGCATGGTGGTAATACAGCGATTGCAGAGTGAAGGCCCAAGGCAACAAATCTGGGTGGGTTGGAGATCTCCTCTGCAGGCCGAGAGACTGACAGTGCGCCCATCTTATGGTCCACACTCTATGGAATTGGGAAGAGGAGGAAAATTGGATCTCTAGTCCACCAATTTTCCTACTACCAATCCTTCATTCTGATTGTAACGCCACACATATGAGTTAATAAATCGATCCAGGTTTTACATATAAAAAATCTATTGGAATTTTACTTCAAATGAAATTTTCGTGCCTCTTTTTTTTTTTTTTTTTTTTTGCTTAACTTAAAATATACAATGGTACTATGTAAATTTGACTTGTTATGTAAGGTATTCTAATAATTTTTTGGGTTACTATTTAAATAAAAATTAAGTGTGTTGGATTATTGGGGATTTAAGCGTTGTTGAAGTTCTTACTATGCTTAATTTAAGTGTGTTGGATTCAAGTATGAGCTACTATTTTGATGTAATATTATATGTTATTAGCTATATATTAGATAGAATTTGATATAATTTATATATGTATGTACAATGTAATAACATTATTCATATATCCAGGATAATTCGGGCTAAATTGATTGACCCATTAACTCTAAACCAACTAGCTCTACCAGGCCAACAGGCAAAGCCGAGTTGACAACCTTGCTTAATAGAATATATAATAGTTGGGTTAATCAACGAGGCAATGATTGTACCCCAATAGTTGTCACTTAATCATGTCCATTGTATTCAAACAAACAATTAAAGAGGTATGACATCGTGTGTTTAACTACCCCATATCTAAAGTAGCTCATCTGTCCAATCTGTTTTAACTTAACTGCCAATCCCACTAATTGTCATTATTGAATGGCTTTCGATTAGACGAAAGTTAACTATATAGAAAAAACAGACCATGTCCCACATGATATTGATGTTAAAAAGACTGGTGTTTTTTAACCAATCAAAACAATACATGTGGTATATGTTCGGTTTGTTTCTGTGTTAAATGTTCCAAGTGATTTGTAAATGCTAGTTTTAACTGTTATGTAGTTGAGTATTATCGCCTTATCACAATTCCACTTATTAAGGTCAACATATTCTCAGTTTTCAAATTTCACTAATAAATATGTGGAAACGTGATTAGTGATTATATGAGGTGATAAACAAGTAGACATAAAATAAATTTCGTTTCAATGATTAAACACCAAGTTATGTGATTAAAAGACGAGATGACCATCACGCTCTTAACAAATTTTGTGCCGTCAAGATTGACATTAGAGAGGCAAAATTTATATTACATTATAGAGCGAGAGGCGTAATTTATAGAGAAACCATTGACAAAGAGTAATTAGATAATGGTGGGGTCTTATCATGGCCAAAAGAAGCAAGGAAGTAGGTTGTCCCTGACCTCATATATTCTCTCTTCCTTAATTAATATCTGCCCACGGAATAATCTTATTGAATAGTCATAATGATTCAATATTTGGCTTCTTGATATTTGCTTATACCTCCACCAGCAAAGTGATCATTCATGTGTGTCCTACGATGGATTCTCTTCTTTCATTTCTTTTCCTTATAACTGTTTAAAGGTGACGATGATATCTACCTCCATATTCATTGGCATATCCAGAAATGGATTTTAGTGGAGTTCAAAGATAATCAGAATGTCCCGTGTTTTAATAGTCAAGTTACGGTATTGAAAATAAGGATACATTGTTCAAAACTTGTTAGATCTACTTTGAAAATTCACCAAGACCATCTCCAACAAGCTTCCAAAAAAGTTAGAGTTAATTATATTATTTGAGGTACCAAATTGTAAATATGCATTGGCAATTTCGACTAAGGATGGTAATCGGTATGCCGGTTAACAGTATAACTAGTAGCCGAACCGCTAACCGGCGGTACCGGTAGGCAAAAAAAGAAAAACCTCGAAGGTATACCGGCTTTTATTCGGTAATTTACATGCAGTTAGCCGGTTACCCCAAATACCGATAACCCTTTCCTAGTTTGGAGATTCAATAACCCTTCCCCTGCTTGGGGAACCTTCACGGCTGCACGATTTTCAACAAGAGTCCAAGACCTCTTCTCTCCTCTCCATTCGCAACCCAATCCTTCCCCCTAGGCAGCAGACTCCTCCACCGGCCATCTTTTCTTCACGATAAAAAGTTTTCTCTAGTCCAATCCTCATCTTTCCCCTGTCACAAAAATCTTCTCCTCGCCATTTTTCTCTAGTCGAAGCTCTATCTTTAACCCTCATACGGCTGCATCATCGTCGTCGACCAATCCCCACCAAAAATCGTCATCGTCGCTTATGGGTCTAGAGGAGGTGTTGCGGCTGCGGTGAGGGTGGGTAAATCGAGGCCATTCTTCTCCATCTTCGAGCTTGGTTAGTAAATTTCAGATCTGGGCCTGATGTCTCCCTCCGCAAAGATTGTTGATCCAAATTTGCATAAAAGGATGAAGGCCGGAGATGGTTAACCTACTCAGTTCTCTCCACTGCTCCTGTCTTGTACGTTCTTCCCTTCCCTTCACTTAGATAGACAACCAGAGCAGAGAAGACTGAGTCAACCAGAGAGAGAGAATCGCTGCCGGAGAGAGTCAGACGCCGCCGCCAGCTGATTGTCTGCCTGAAGTCCACCACCTGACCTCGTCTCCTGACTCCTCGCGAATGCTCCCCATCTCGGCTGCAGCAGCGAGTCCTAACCCACACCTAGACTCAGAAGTGTCACCGTCGACCTCCACCAATCCACCAACATCAGGGGTGCCGCAGCGGCTGCTAGTTGAAGCCCCACCATCCACTTTGAAGATAACAACGAAGGATTGGCCGCTCTCCCTCCCTTCGTCAATCTCAACTTCTCGCTGCTCTTCCGCCCCTTCTCGATGCTTCTCGGTATGGCGGTATTACCGATTGATAATCGGTAAATGCATATCTGGTTATCCGGTTAACCGGATAACCGCCGGTACCGGTTGTCGATCGCTAACTTGTAGAAGTCGGTATACCATTAACCGATTGGTCGATTACCGGATAAACCAAAAACCGACCGAATAGCAGCCCTAATTTTGGCTATAATTAGGTTCACAAACCTCGATATACTCTTGTAAATAAGCTGATGAGTATAAAGTAATAAGAGAAAACCTAAACCTGTGAGGGAGAACTTCACTATGGACTAGTGTCTCATTGACGCTACCATGTTAAAAAAACATTGGTGTTCTTTAGATTTCTTTTTATTGACATGGTATTCGAACCTGCAATATGAGATCAATGATCGTATTTCATGGGTTTTTATCGCTGCTCCTGCTGCTTATTTCGACTTCTCTTTCAAGTCTTATTAGTGATCCGCTTGTCTTGTGTGGGTCTTTTTTTTTTCTCTGGACGGCGCGTCTCTCTCGGCTGTTGCAGGCGCCACTTAGTAAATGCAGCTTGCCGCTTGGTCATTCCTTCCGCTGCCAAGTGCTAATCTTCTTGTGCGGTTTTGTTCACATTCCTTCGTCTTCCTTCGGCTCTACAGGTAGTCCAATCCTCTTTTCATATCCCCTTTATTTCTCGTGTTGCTCTCTCCTTTACTGTTGCGGTTCTTTCTTTTGCCACTAGTCTTCTTTTCTTGTGCTCGATCTCTATCATGGATACAGGGAAGCTTGATTTTATCACGGTTCGTCTAGATGGGAAGAACTTCCCTCTTTGGGAGTTCCAATTTGGAAGCTTTGTGGAAAGAAAGCACTTGCTTCCTATCTTGACCAGTAAAATTCCTAACCCTGCTGAGACTGCTCTCGCTAAAGATCAGGAGGATTGGGCAACTATCCATGCTCAATTGGTCTCTCGACTCCTTGTTGTTGTTAATACGTCTATGAGTCTTAGTCTATGTCATTTAGTTTATGCTCATGACATGTGGTCGCATATCTGTGGGATTCACTCACAGAACAACTTTTGTGACAGTTTGAGCTTGCGAATGAGCTTGCCTTATTCTCTCAGGTATTTTGCGACATTTGTTCATATTATCAAATATAATATGAATCTTTGAATTGAACAGGATATGTTGGTTGCCTCGTTGATGGATGAGCTGTATACAGCTGCTATGATCAAGGATCGTAGTCGTACTCGTCTTGTGCAGTTTCTCATCAAGCTGCATCTTGAATTTGAGGCTATTCGTGCCTCCCTCCTCCATCGGAATGTGGACACTGTTCATAAAGCCTTGGGTGCGTTAATTAGATAGGAAACGAGGCTTCATAGTCAAGCTAAACTGGATGGTCACTCTAATTCAGCCTTTGTTGTAGGTCGCTCTGGAGGTAATAAACCTCAGTTTCAGCATGGGGATGCTAGTCCTTTAACCTAACATGTTTGTCATGAGGTGGGTCACATTCAGCCACATTGCCCAAAACATAACATTTTCGGCAATTGTAAGAAGGATAGACACATTATTTTTTACTGCAAGGCCCTAGCTTGCCGAAATAAAGTCGGTTAATCATCTGTTGCTCGAGGGTTTGGCTTGGTCATCTGACTTGGTGGGTTCTGGTTTTGCCATAGCTCCTGCTTTGCATGCTTCTTCTACAATCGCCTCTACTCATGATCCCTCCTCTAGTGGTTTCACTTCTGCTTATGTATGTCGACTAGTGGCTGAGGAGTTACAAGATGTTCTCCCATCTGCTCTCCCATCTGCCTTTACTATTGGTGGTGTGTCAGGCACTATTCCATGTTGGTTACTCAATTCTATTGCTTTGAATCACATGATTAATGCTTGTAATCACTTCTCATTGTTGCACAATGGTCACACGATGTCCTTACAATTGGCTTAAGGGGCTAAACTATCTACTCGTGGTGTGGGCACCGCAGTTACTGTGGGTCAGTTGATTGAGGATGGATGTGAGGTTAAGTTCCATAATCACGGTTGTGTTGTGTAGGATCAGATAACGGGGGAAGTGCTAGACAGGGGTAAGAAGGATGGTTGCATATTTGTTATTGGGGAGTATGCTAAACCCGTGGGAAACCAGCAGAAGGCGTGGCAGGCATGGTGGATTGTTCTTTGGAGTTTGATAATAGTGATTGTTTTGATAGGGAATATTTGGATTTGGATAATGAATTGTTTTCTCGTATGGGTGATGAAAATAGTTTGGCATTTTCTGCCCGTTCTTCGGATTCTTTGGATTTTGATGTAAGACCTTCGGTTTGGGATTTGTGGCAAAACTCCTTGGCCATCCCCATAATGCTAGTTTACTCAATATGTTTCCCTATAACTTATTTCTAGATTCTTTGGGGGCAAAATTTACTTCGCTCATGGCCTGTATTACCTGTATTGAATTACAATCTTCATTATCCTCAAGTGTCACAATCTATGATTCATACATATCTCTAGGTCCTTCCCCTGTCACATCTCGAATGAGATATAGATACTGCACATTGTTCATTGACCATGCCACCCGTTATGCTTGGATTTATTTCTTGTGTCGGAAGTCTGAGTTAATTGACCGTGCCATCGTGTTTGTTCACTTAATTCTCACTCAATTTGGGAAGACAGTTAAGATCATTCCCACTCCAACAAAATCATGTTATTATGACAAAACAAAAAAAATTTGTCATTATTATTTTGTCACAATAAAGTGTTATATGTGACGAATGAAATAATTGTCATAGTATTCATGTTTTTGTGACAAAATATTATTATTTTCATATACATTTGTCACATTATCTCTATATTATAATTATAATGAAATATTATTTGTCATGAACAATTTGTCACATTAACACTAGCGGGACGGAAGACAAACACTATAATTTGACAACAAGTGCGTCATATTTTCTGTTGTCACATTATATACTATATCATATATATTATAACAACTTTTATTTTCATAATATCTAATATTCATTGTGGAGGATTAAATAATAGACAAAGAATGGTTATTCATTATTATGTTTATGAAAACATATTTGTAGCGGGAACTTGTGGAGGGAATTATGGAATGGATAACATGAAAAATTAGTAGCTTATCATAAAATATGGCAGTTGATCATTATTATGAGAAATTAAATTTGTCACATTAGCTATTTACACAAGCTAGTACTTATTTATGACAAATTTTATTTGTCACATATAGTGTCTAGATATGCATAAGATAAAAATTTAGTCAGTCATAACATACGTGTACAGATTGGTAGTGGCGGGAAATTGTGAAGGGAAAGATAAAGTATCTAAAATGACAAATGTATAGTTTGTCACAACTGTAATAGTATATTATATATGACAAAAAAAAGATAGGTTGTCATATTAAGTGGTGGATGAACATTTAATATGACAGACCATCGTCACTAACTGTAAACATAGCGAGTGAACAACTATAAACATATAAGGGGCAATCTATGCACCCTAAATCTTAAATATAGAGTCTTAGATGGGGCTGCACACACTTATCCTTAAGTCATAATTAAATCGTATCTCTTAAACTTAAAACCCAATATAAAAATATTATGGTAGGGTTTTTTTATTTAATAAATGAGTTATATTAAGATGACACCCTACTATATATTCCATCGTCTAAAAATTCTCTATTCGTCAAATTTTCATACTAAGTTATCACACCCTAATAGCCTTTATTATGACCTAGAAATAACTTTTCAATCTTTAGATGCACTGATATGAATTCAAATCGATATAATTGCCGTCAACTGCAAGTCACGGGGTCTCGCTGCCCGATCAGCGAGTCGGGGTCCTGGGGCAAAGCGCTCAGTTTGGGGGCTCAGGGGCATCGCCCCCGATCCAACGATGTATATTTATGCAAAGTGCTCAGTTTGGAGAAGTGCTGATTGACGACCAAAAGCAGAACCCCATCCTTCACGACATGTTTTCTGCTTCTGATCTAGAGTTTGCTTCTCTCTCCATGGAGTAACTTCCACATTCACCTGGGTATGAAGAACCCTAGACTTGTATGTTAGGTTTGATTGTATGAACCCAAGTTTGAATCCATTGACTTGATTATATTCAATTGAGGTTTGATTTCTTGAATGGCATGAATCCGGATCAAATTCCTTGATTGAAGGTAGTTAATTGACGACTTTAGTCGAGGAGTCAATTCACTATTCTGTACCGGATTTACTTCGGTAGAGGAGGTTTGGTTCGTTAGGGCCTCAATTTGTTTACTCTGGTGGAGGTTAGTCGCCCACTGGGGACTCAGATTGAGACGGTCTGGAGACCTTTAGTCGTGACTGCGGACTGTTTAAGAACCTCCCGCAGTATAACAATCATTGAACTTGAACTTGGTAAAGTACAACCTAGCTTAACTGCAGTCTAGGGGAACCATATCCGACTGACCTCTCTCAACTTGAAAACAACCTTTTACAACTTTGCTTGTTTGTTTGATTGGACCTTCACTAGATTTTCATTACTAAATAATAAGAATTCGCGGAGTAGTCATCACACCTAGGACCCGGGTTGATATTTAAACCCAACCCCGCTATACTACTGATAAGCCGTTAATTGCACATGTTTTTACCCCTATTATGGAGCCGTTTGAGGTGTTGATTCTCGTGTTTTAGGTCGATTTCATGCTAGGTTGTGCTTGTTTGTGATATGTCAGGTCCTAGCAAGTAAATGAAGGTTTAGGAGCGAGTTCGGGGTCGATTGGGCGAAGATCGGACGCGAGGCAAGTCACAAAGGAAGCCACACGGGCAGGCACAAGACCGACACGGCCGTGCCAGTGACCAATTTGGCCGTGTGGGATTGTGCGAGCACTAACACGGGCACAAGAAGAATCCACACGGCCGTGCAAAAGACCACTTTGGCCGTGTGGAATTCTGCGAGGCTTCACACGGCCAGGCAGGGTGATCCACACGACCGTGTGACCCTGGCCGTGTAGGTTGACTGAAGTCCAATTAATCGATACGCGGCGTTTTGGCCTCACACGGGCAACTAGGTATGCCACACGGCCATGTGACCCTGCCCGTGTGAGTCGGGAATTCCTGGTTTTAACCCAATTTCGGGCTGAAAGTGGGAGAATCGAGTTTTGAGAGCAAAAACAGAGCCCTAGAGAGAGAAAGTACGAAGAACACATCCTAGAAGCTATCTTGGAGCTGGGTTTCATCAAATCAAGCTTGGAGATCGTCATAGGAGTGGAAATCATCATCCCAGAGCAGATATTCCTCATCTTTATGAGTATGACTACTCTGTATTCTGTTTTCCTCTCTCTCTCTCTATGGAGTAGAACCCTTCTCTCACTTGGGTATGAAGAACCCTAGTTCTATGTGTTAGGGATTTGATTGTAATGACTTGGGATGATATTACTGCTTGGTTTTAATCGAATGATGCATGTTTATTGAGTCAATTGAAGTCTGATCAGCTTTTCCTGATTTCTGCTGCAACCTGAGATAGATAGAATCTGATTAGGTTGTTAGAGCCTCATCATTGGTAGTAGGAGATTGGCTATACGAGAGTTAGCCAGTTTACTTCTTTGTACTGGAATTCAATTCCAGTAGTGGAGTTCTGTTCTTACTGCTTCAGCTTTCTATCCCAGTGAAGACTAGTCGTCTGCCGGGTAGTTAGTCTGAGAGGGCTTGGTCAGCTTAAGAGATTCCAAGCTACTGTCGGATCTTTCGCAGTCTAATCAACAGTAAATCAACCCAGGGAAATTACAATTGAAACCTAACTAAGGAGCTAGGGGGACTCATTCCCGAGTGACTCTTCTTTGCTTGAGAAAACCGTACCAATTCCTGCTTTCTTTCTGCTTTTGCTTTATACAACAATCACTTGACTTAGTTGGCTAGATAATAGATAATCACTGAGTAAGCAGTAGATCTAGACCCCGGGATTATATTATAACTTGCCACTTTACTGCATTCCCACTCTGCGATTACACTTGGTCGCAGATTGGTGTTGTGTTTTGGAGTGTCAAGTTTTTGGCGCCGTTGCCGGGGAACCCTCTAGGTTATTGGGGAAACGTGCAAATCTGTTACTCTAGCTTTTTCTTTATTGCAATTTATCTTTTCCACCTGTGTGCCTTCACGGGTTGCTTCTGCTTATTGTGTGCAGGTAGTGCATGACCCGTAGCTAGTCGAGAGATCTACTATCACTAGGCCAGGAGCTTGAACGAACCTGCAGAAACTTCAAGCGGGCTCTAAAGGAACGACTTGCTGCGGAGGAGGCGCTAGCACAACTGCAGATCGCTTACGAAGAGGAGATGGCTGATCCACAGGACCATGATGTGGTCAATCCCGAGGAGCAGACCATGGGACATTACTGGACCACCAGGACTGCAGACATGAGGTCACCCATTCAACACCCTCATGTCCCAACCAATAATTTTGAGGTGAGCACCTCAGTAATCACCATGTTGCGCGGTTCAGTGATGTTCCGAGGCAAAAAGGAGGAGTGCCCTCGTTCACATCTCAGGCGATTCCACAAGCTCATCGATGGAATTAAGATCAACGGGGTCCCAGCAGATGCCATCCAGCTGAGGTACTTCCCATTCACCCTGGAGGGGCAGGCCAAGGAGTGGCTCGACACTCGACCTCCGGGCTCCATCACCACGTTCGCCAACCTGGCGGACAAGTTTCTTATCCGCTACCATCCTCCGTCGAAGACGGCGGACTTGCAGAAGCAGATCACCCACTTCACCCAGGATGAAGATGAGACCATCCGGGATGCTTGGGAGAGATACAACAGTCTCTTCCTGAGGTGTCCCAATCATGGTTTCAACGATGCTTTCAAGGTGGGAACCTTCTATCATGCCCTCTTCCCAGAAGATAAGCAGCTGATTGATTCAGTATGTGGCGGGAACATGCTGACTAAAACACCGCCACAGCTGAATCAACTCTTTGAGGAGATGGCAGAGAACGGGTATGATTGGGGCACTGCTAGGAGGTCGATGAGAGCACCAAGCCGAGGTGTACATTCTGTGGGAAACCGTTCCTCTGATTTTGTGCAGGTGGTGTCGAAGCTGGTTTTAGCTATCGATCGTTCCGGGATGATTCCAGGGACCGGACAGCAGCAGGCGATGCTCTGCCAGTGGTGCGAGAGCACCCATCATACAGTGGAAGACTTCCAGGCGATGAAGGAATCGACCACACCCCAGGAGCAGGTGAACTTCATCAATAATGCCAGGCGCAATGACCCCTTTAGTAACACCTACAAT